AAGATCAATACAACCCCAAGTTCATGTGTTCACTGTGTGAAGGCCAATATCCAAGAAACAAGAGTCGATGTAAGAAAAACAGGTTTATTCAAAGGAACTGGCTCCTCAGAAAATGGTGGACTCATCCAAAACTTCTTAAAGAACCCATTTTAATGGTCACAAAGAGAATTTATTTTATTTAAAGGAAAAGAAAACAGAGACGGTGACATTTTTAGGAAGGGTGTGTAACGCTGGTGGGCACCAATGTGATTAATACATTCACTCAGGGCCACTTTTCTGATGGGACTGTAAATGAAGGTTTCTGTTTAAGCTTTCCTTCCTCTTATCTTTTTGGAAAAGATAAGAGGGATACTCCCAAAATTTTCCATTATACCTAACCAGACAGGTTTTCTGGTTTCTAATATTGAATTCAACCCTTAATTTCTTTGGGTCAGGTTCAAGAATAGACTGACTTCCCAATTTAAAAGAAAAAAATTAATTAGGACTTTCCTGTTCTCATTAGAGCATTTCTTGGGTGGACACAGGAAAAACACTAATTAACTTTCTTTCTCACTTATTCAATTATGGATACAAGGTGCCAGCCTGTATTCAAATCTACCTCTATGTCTTAATGCCATCATTATCACTGCCCATCAGTTTTAATGACGCACTTAAAAAGCTAGGCAAAGAGAAAAAAGAAACATAAAAAATAAATATAAAGTATAGACACTGATTTCAATTATATGCAAATGTCCTTCAAGGACCACCTTGAAGAAAAAAATCATCAAAATCAGAGTAGCTGTTAGCAGCAATAAGATTAAAAATAATTCTCTATCCAAGTTGCAATTTTATATACTGTCTCCATTTATAAAGCATAAGATTCTCAAAAAGAAATAATATCTCACCATTTTTTGGAATCACTACAGGAAGAAAGTTTAGAATTAGAAATTCCCCCCCGCCCCGGGAGAGGATGATACATTAATATAATTTCTAAAGTTCATTTCATCAATCATTTCTATGGAATATGCATGAAAAACTCAGACTAGGACAGTTTCCTAAACCAGTGAAATTCAACATTTTAAAATCAGAACGTGGCATCCACTCATGCAGTCTCCAAGTAAATTCAAGAATGAAACCAAAGGGTGTTCTCAGTTTGGGGCCTGGAATAAACTCCCCAACTGATGCAATCTGAAACCCGAGCTAACAAGTGTTTACCAAAGCCTCTGTCCCCAAGGAAAGTGCCTCCTTTCTAATTCTCCTCTAGTGATAGCTGTGGGGATTGCCTGGAGCCTGCAGGGAAGAGACCAGCCTGGCGGACAAACATCGCAGTTCTGTTGAAATACTGGCCTTCCCCAGCAAAAGTGAAAACAAAATTCTTTTTCTGATGATCTGTAGTTCGTAATGCATCCCTACTTCACTGAAGGGTCTGGTTAGTTTCTTGTAGTTCGCTCCCCTAGCCTAGGAGCAAATAAACAGGAAGTTCATGCCCCTGGGGCTTTGTTCACTAAGCAATGGAAAAAACGAAGCTGGACTTTCTCAAAGATGATGTAGAGAGAAAAGTTCATTAAATTACTGTAGTCCCATCCTTTCTTCTCCAGAAGCCATTTGACTGTGCAAGCTGTCGGCTACCCCTGGTGTAGAAACAAGTCTTTGCTCCTTTCAGAGCCTGTGTCAGGATTTTATTATTCTCTGCAGTCTGCCTCCAAAGCAGATGTGAAAGGGGCCGGAGCAATAGCATAGCGGGTAGGCAGTTTGCTTTGCATGTGGCCGACCTGGGTTCGATCCCTGGCATCCCATGTGGTCCCCCAAGGGCACCGCCGGGAGTTATTCCTGAGTGCTGAGCCATTAATAAACCCTGAGCATTGCTGGGTGTGACCCAAAAACCAAAAAAAAAAAAAAACCCACAAAGTAGATGTGAAAAAGTGATGCCAGGGTATTTCCCACCCCCTTTTTGTGGAATTAGGCCCCCCCCCCCACCATTGTGGCATTAGCCCTTTAAGCAATCTCGCTGGCCCCAGTTAGATTTTTCTGACAATTCTGTGTGCTCTGACACCTCTGACAATTCTGTGTGCTCCAGTTTTTGTTTGGAATGTCATGAGGCTCCAGAACTAAATCAGAAAGCCAACCATGTCACATGATCCAATCACCATAAAGGGTGGGTATAGTACAGCGCATCACTGCGCCCAAATATTGAGCAGATTAACAAGGGAAAAAGTGGGGCCGGAGCAATAGCACAGCGGGTAGGGCGTTTGCCTTGCACGCGGCCGATCCGGGTTCGATTCCCAGCATCCCGAATGGTCCCCTGAGCACTGTCAGGGGGTAATTCCTGAATGCCGAGCCAGGAGTAACCCCATGTGCATTGCTGGGTGTGACCCAAAAAGAAAAAAAAGGAAAGGAAAAAAGTTCCCCTTGCCAGGGAGACCTTTGTACTGCTGGAATAGCTCTGCCTCTCTTATTTATTTATTTATTTATTTATTTATTTTATTAGTGAAACACCATGAGGTACAGTTGTAGATTTACAATTTTTTGTGCTTGGGTTTCGATTGTACAATGATCAGATACCCATCCCTCCACCAGTGCCCATTTTCCACCACCATGGATAATATCCCCCCCACCCCCATCCCCCCATCCCCCCTGCCTCCGTGGCAGGGCAATCCCCTGTGTTCTCTCTCTCGTTTTGGGTGTTGTTGTCTGCAAAAGAGACATTGAGTGGCAAACATGTTCAGTCCATAGTCTACTTTCGACATGCATCTCCCCTCCTGGGAGGATCCTCCAAACACCCTTTATTTGGTGCTCCCTTCTCTATCTGAAGTGCCCTTTCCCCTAGAATACCCGGCTGGCCTCTAAGCTATGAAGTAATCCTCCTGGTGTTGATCTCAGCTATTCTTGGGTATTAATCTTATATTTTGTTATTTTATATCCCCCAGATGAATGCAATCTTTCTATGTCTATCCCTCTCTTTCTGACTCATTTCACTTAGCATGATACTTTCCATGTTGTACCACTTGTATGTAAATTTCATGACTTCATCTTTTCTAACAGCTACATAGTACTCCATTGTGTAGATGTACCAAAGTTTCTTTAACCAATCATCTGTTCTTGGGCACTCAGGTTTCTTCCAGTTTCTGGCTACTGTAAAGAGTGCTGCAATGAACAAACAAGTGCAGATGTCACTTCGACTACACATTTTTGCCTCTCTGGGATATATTCCCAGGAGTGGTATCGCTGGGTCAAATGGGAGCTCAATTTCCAATTTTTTGAGGAACGTCCATACTGTTTTCCAAAAGGGCTGAACCAGTCGGCATTCCCACCAACAGTGAAGGAGTGTCCCTTTCTCGCCACATCCGCGCCACATCGGTTGCTTTTGTTCTTTTGAATGTGGGCCAGTCTCTGAGGTGTGAGATGGTATCTCATTGTGGTTTTGATCGGCATCTCCCTGATGATTAATGATGTAGAGCATTTTCTCATGTGCTTTTTTGCCATTTGGATTTCTTCTTTGAGAAAGTTTCTGTTCATTTCATTGCCCCATTTTTGGATGGGGTTGGATGTTTTCTTCTTGTGGAGTTCAACCAGTATTTTGTATATCCTGGATATCAACCCCTTGTCAGATGTGCATTCGGCGAATATCCTTTCCCATTCTGTAGACTGTCTTTGTATTTTGGTCACTGTTTCTTTGGAGGTGCAGAAGCTTCTTAGTTTAAGATAGTCCCATTTATCTATCTCTGTTTTCACTTGCTCGGCCAGTGGCGTGGCATCTATGAAGATACCATTAGCCTCAATGTCATGGAGAGTTTTGCCAACTTTGTCTTCAATGTACCTTATGGTTTCTGGTCTGATGTTGAGGTCTTTAATCCATTTTGATCTTACTTTTGTACATGGTGTTAGGCAGAGTTCTGAGTCCATTTTTTTGCATGTAGCCGTCCAGTGATGCCAGCACAATTTGTTAAAGAGGCTTTCCTTACTCCACTTCACATTTCTTGCACCTTTATCAAAGATTAGATGATCATATGATTGAGAGGAGATGTCAGTGTATTCAACCCTGTTCCATTGGTCTGCAGTTCTGCCTTTGTTCCAGTACCATGCTGTTTTAATTATTACTGCCTTGTAGTAGAGTTTGAAGTTAGGGAGGTTGATTCCTCCCATTTTCTTTTTCCCAAGAATTGCTTTAGCTATTCGTGGGGGCTTATTGTTCCATATAAATTTCAGGAGTGCTTGCTCCATTTCTTTGAAGAATGTCATGGGTATCCTTATAGGGATTGCACTGAATTTATACAATGCTTTCGGTAGTATTGCCATTTTGACAATGTTAAGTCTCCCGACCCATGAGCAAGGGATATCTTTCCATTTCCTCATGTCCTCTTTTATTTCCTGAAGTTAGCTCTGTCTCTTGATTGGAGTGGTGGTTATAGGAAACTATGCAAGTGACAAAGTGGCAAGGAGCCAACCACACATCACAGTTGTTTCCTGACCTTAATACTTCATGTAAGTTGTCACTATTGCAGGAAACTTGTTAGAGTGGATAGAGGGGACCCAGAGCCTCTCTACTGTCCTGGCAATTTTCTATGACTCTGTGTTTCAAAGTGTTCTTTTTTGGAGGGAGAGGATGCTGATGGCAGTGCTCAGGGCTACTCCTGGCTCTATGCTCAGGGCTTACTCCTGGCGGGGCTCAGGAGACCACATTAGTACCCAGGATTGAACAGGGGTGAAGGTGGGGGCTGGTGCGTACAAGGCAAGCACAGTACCCACTGTACCATCTCTCTGGTTCCAAAATGCTCTTAGCGGAAAGCAGCACACAGCTGCTTGGCCGCCATAGCACATTGGGAGCATTGTGCATTATTAGGACCGGTCAATAAAGCTCAACATGGTTTGCGTACGTGAGACCCAGCCACCACCCAGCTGAAAGCAAGAGGGCAGGAAGCAGCCACACCTAAGCTCTTCCCCACATGGGACTTCTGGTCTGACCTCCCCGACCTCCTGCATCTTCGGGTCATGGGGCACCTCAATGTCCCCCTTCTGCACAGCCCACTCCCCAAGCTCTCCATCACGCTCTTCCCTGCCACTGATGCTATCTATAGTGAGTATGGGCTTGCTGCCTTGCTTCCTGCTAGACTGACATTTCCACCTGCTAGGCTGTTACTTCCACGTGCTAGACTGACTCTTCCACCTGCTAGACTTCCACCTGCCATAACTGACACATCCACGTGCTAGATGTACACTTCCGCCTGCCTGCCTGACACTTCCACCTTCTAGACGCACACTTCCACGTGCTAGACTCACGCTTCCACCTGCTAGACTGACATTTCCACCTCGAGTGCCCCTAGACCCAGGGATGTCCCACGAGGGGGCCGGGGTCCCTTGGCCCAAGGTAAGTGTTCAGAAGAGAGTTTTGTCTAAATGAAAGCAACTCTCTGACCCCTGAGCCTCCTCCCTGGTCCTCTGTGCTCTGGAACAGGCAACAGCGACCTCACGTCTGTCCCTCCGCTCAGACCATCCGGCCCCAGAGAGACCCCGATTTTCTCCCCTCTAATTCAGAAACCCCGGCTGAAGGGAGTCTTTCCCTTATTGGTACCCGTGAGCCAGGTATAGCTCTCTCAATCCCCTCTCCAATCTCTTCAGCCACCTGCTCTGTTCCCCCACCCAGGAGCCCCGCCTAACGGCTAGCCTGGCCCCAGCCGCAGCCGGAAAGGCGGCACCCACCTAAGCCGGGGTTCGGGACTAGGGCGCGACTGCCGGGGGCGGGGCGGGGCGAAGTGGGGGCGTGTCCTCCTGAATCTCGGGCGCCGATTGGCCAGGAGTAGGGAGGAGGCGGGGCTGCAACCTGTGTCTCGGGCCCCGGGCGACGGCGGCTCATTTCTCCCGGCTGCTGCAGGTCCCCGCGGTCTCCACGCGCGAGCGGCCCCTTGGACGCGCACAGCATGTCAGAGAAGCGGCACAACACGGACGCCCAGGGCCGGCGGCTGCCCGACTCCTTCAAAGGTGAGCCCCCGCGCAGAGTCCCGCCGGCACCGCCTGCCTGCGCCCCGGGGGCGCGGGCAGTAAAGGGCGCTGGCAGGTGCGCAGACGTTGGGTCGGGGGCCGGGAGCCCCGGGGGCGCGCCACGCGGCGGGCCACGGTGCCCAGAGTCCGGGCAGCGCCGGCCGCTACCAGGCGGCTGCAGGGAGTCGGGGACCGCCCCGGGCCAGCTCTTCCCGCTCGCTCTCTCGCGTCCGGTGCACCAGGGGCTGGCGGCCGGCGCGTGGCCGGCCCCGGCTCCTGCCTGCACACCCACTTTCCGCACCCCGGGGATTCTTTCCACTCGCCTTTCCTTTCCCGACCCGGCCCATCCGGAATACCTTCTCGGGGTGGCCTTGGCCCACCCCCCTCTTGCTCCCTTTCCCCTACGTCTGCGAAGACGGCCTTGGGCGTTTTGTGCCAGCCCCTTGCACGCAGCTGGCCGCACTTGGGGAAGGAAAAGGGGTCTCTGGGCAGCGTCTCCCCCCTGACCTCTCTCCAAGGATGCCTTCTGCCCTCTCTCTGCCCTCGCTTTTACCCTTTTGATCTTAGGCACCCGGGGTGTGTGTGACTTTATTTTTTATTTTTTAATTTTTTTAGCGGGATCTCCTTTCACCCGCCCTGCCAGACTTTGCTAGTAGAGACTGAGGGGCTCACCTGTGAAAGACCTAGAACCTTCATTGGCTAACTCCTTAGGGGGACGCTGGGAGCCCCCCGCCCCCATAAAGAGAGGCCAACAATACACAGCTTAGTGATTCAATCTTTTTTTTAAAGAAGGAATACACTGGAAGGATTGAGGAAATTAGAATCATCACTCATTCCCACAAGCATTTATTAAGAATCGTAGGTGATTTTTATTATTCTTAGGAATATGATTCCTAAACTCTGAAGACTCATAGTCCAGGCACAAATCCAGAAGTGACACATTTATCCATTGCACACTTAAGATTTATGTTCATTGAATTTAAAAAAATTATAGAATTTTCATAGAGAATGACTAGTGCTACAAGTAACAATAAAAATTATGCTTTTAAAAAATTATTATTTTAAGAGAGGCCAATGGACTCTTACAAGAGCTGGTTCCCTCCCAGGATATCTTGGGAATCTAAGGAATTATTTCTAAGGATGGCGTTTTAGGCAGGATGCAATGGTGAAATTTTAGTGGCTGTGAGCTTGCTTTTCTGCCACCTCTAAAGGAACAGTACTACTGAAGTCATCTGTGGTGATTATTTGTAAGGTCATCTAAAGTCAGGTCCATTTCCCACTGATTCTTTAGAAAAAAAAATTTGGGTGGGGGGACACACTCGGCAGTGCTCAGGGCTTAGTACTGGCTCTGGATCCAGGATCACTCCTGGCGGGCCCCAGGGACCATATGGGATGCTGGGGATTGAACCCGGGTCGGCCGCGTGCAAGGCAAGTGCCCAGGCAAGGCTAGTGCCCACCCGGCTCTCCAGCCTCTCTGCTGATTCTTGTCTTTAGTTCCTTCCTGGCAGCATCAAAAAGAGTTTCCTAAATCTCCAGCCTTCCCTTTTGTCTGCTAAGCATCTTGAGGTATTAATCTCCCAAATCAGGAGTGTTGCAGGGAGGAGCTGATGAGAATAGTGCCCAAAATTGAGCACCTCTCTCAGCGATATAGTTTACACACATCATTCTGTCTATGTGTTGTTCTTTCTTATTGACGTGGGTGCCATACCTTAGGGGTGCTTTGGGAATGGAGCCTGGGCTTCCAGCACACCAGTTCTGCCTTCCAGCCCCTGAGCAACCACCCTGCCCTGTTTGCTTCATAGTTGTTGTTGATACTGGGGTTTGAACTCAGGACTCAAGCATACAGCTGAGCCATTCCCCTGAAAATTATAATAAAATACTATAATAAATAACCCGTTATTTGGCTGAATCTCCATAACGAATGTTCTTTCCCACTTTGCTCTTGAAAAACTCATACTTAAAAAAGAAAGTCAAATGACTGAAGTGATGCCATATAAATACGTTCTACTAAAGTGATAGCACAGTGGCAAAGCGCTTGCCTTGTATGCAGCCGACACGGGCCGACCCCGGTTCGACTCCTCCACCCCTCTGGGAGAGCCAGGCAAGCTACTGAGAGAGAGTATCGCGCCCGCACGGCAAAGCCTGGCAAGCTAATCGTGACGTATTCGATATGCCAAAAACAGTAACAAGTCTCAAAATGGAGATGTTACTTGTGCCCGCTCGAGCAAATTAATGAACAACGGGAGGATAGTGCTATACTAAAGTGACAGCAGGATCCAGGCAGTGGTTGAATACTTGGAGACCCATGCCTAATACTCGAGCCTCTGAAAATTGTTTCATCCACCTGGTTGATGGTTGTCTTTTCCTAGCTAGGAAGTGATCAGATCATTTCTGCTTGGCCCTGACCTGGTCATAGACTGAAGGACTTAGGACACTTATAGTTGGGTGAGACTGCCATGTGTGCAGGGCTTCTGGTAGGGGTTGACATGACCCTTCCATTCCCTACTCACTTAATTGTCTGTGATGGTTACAGGCACATTTTCACTTCTGCTCTGCTGTTTCTGATCTCGTGTTTATGACTTTGTTTTTCCCACACCCAGCAGAGCTTGGGGGTTACTCCTGGCTCTGCACTCAAGAATTACTCCTCATGGTGCTCGGGAGACCATGTGGAATGTTGGGGATCAAACTCTGGTCTGTTGTGTGCAAGGCAAATGCCCTACCTGCTGCATTACCACTCTGGCTCCCTTTTTTTTTTTTTTTAACTTTTTTTAAAGACACAATTCTTGTAAGAATCTAATGTGGTCTGGGGTGATGGCCCAATTGGCTGGAGCACCTGTTTTACATGCAGCAGCCCTGGGTTTTCTCTCTCTCCTCTTCCCCACCAAAATACACGGTCCCCCAAGTTACTGCTAGGAGTAGCCCCAATTCCACCAGGTGTGGTCCCCCACGAAAAAGAAAAGAAAAATATGTATCCACTCCCGTACAACTTCGGCACACAAACAGTCTTGCTTGGTGTATATCTTTTCCCCAATGCAAAGCTCAGATGAGTCACAAAGTAGAAAAGCAATGACTAGAATTCACGGAATGGAATTTAAGTTTTGGCCTGTGCCCATCTATGTGTGTTTCAGCATTTCTGCTTACAGCTCTACCAGGAAAGTGCCACCCAACAGTTTGCAGGTGGGGGGGGGGGAGGGGGGAAATTGAGGCTGAGGATGGGAAGGGAAGAAAAATCTTACCCAACTGTGTGTCCTTCTTCAGGGCTTGGTTTTTTTGAACCCATTTATCTGCTGACATGCTACGTGAGTAGTCCTGTTCTAAAGCTTCCTCCGGAATGGGGGATCTTGTCAAACACTGACTGTTCACCCAAGATGAGAGAAAATAAACAAAGAAATCCCAGAGGAACCTCACTTGGGTCAGGATCACCTGGATTAGAGAGTTTCAGAGGGAAGCAGGGGGTTGGGGGGGGCAGTGTGGCTGCAGGAGTCCAAGTTCAGCCCCTTTCTATTTTGCTGCAAGTTCATCTTTACGGAAATAAGAGCAAACCTAGGGCAAGGCTGGTTTGCCCATGCATTGACTTTGTAATGAAATAATAGGAATGGATTACAAAGAGATGTATTATTCTAATATAGAGTCGAAAGAGTCATGTCAACAGAATAAATCCCTCTGGGCCTGCTGCTGCAAACAAGCAGAAACCAGGGCCTGAGACATGTTGATTTCAGTTACTGCCTGTCAGACTGGCAAGGTGAAGGCTGGGTCGCTTCTTTAATAATTTGTCTGAGTTAAAGCTGCCCCTGGCCATTAGGTAATTCAATACCACCAAACTGTCCAAATTAGGTAATCCAATACCACCAAATTGTCCATTAGGTAATTCAATACCACCAAATTGTCCAAAACTGCCATTTTGTGTGTGGGTTTTGTTTTTATTTATTTTTTTTTCATGATTAAAGAGCTTCTTTGGACCAGCTGATAGTATACACAGGAAAAGACAGTCACTGAGTACCTAGTCAGCGGTAAAGGGGGAAAAATATTTCATGTTGATAAAGTGATAGAATTGGATTTTTATTCTATTTGGGAGTGGGGGGTGTGTGTTGGACGACAGCAGTCAGTGCTCAGGAGCTGTTCCTGAAGTGTTTTTTTTTTCCTGAAAACAATTTGAACACATCTCTTCTGTTCGGCCTGGTGAATGTCTGTAACCGTGTTCATTAAACAAGTTATAAATTTCGTTGCGCTCCTTTATATCCTTGGACCCACCTTTTTTTGAAAGTAGAGATTGAGTGGCTGGAGCGATAACACAGCGGGTAGGGGGTTTGCCTTGCATGTGGCCAACTCAGGTTCAATTTCCAGCATCCCATATGGTCCCCTGAGCACCAGCAGGAGTAATTCCTGAGTGCAGAGTCAGCAGAAACCCCTGTGCATCGCTGGATGTGACCCGAAAAGTAAAAAAAAAAAAAAAGTAGAAATTAAACCCTTTTTCACTATATTCATCTCAGCAGCTTATTTATGTCAGTTTGCAAACCGTTTGTCTTTTGGTTCCTTTTTGTTTGTATGTGTGCTTTTGGACCACAGCCTACAGTGTTCTGGGGTTACTCCTAGCTCTGTGCTCAAGGATGCCTCCTAGTGGTGCTCAGGGACCATACAGTGCTCGGGATCAAACCTGGGACCTTGTGCTCAGTCTGTTGAAGTAGTCTGTTATTTTTCTGGCTCACAGTTTGTTTTTTATTTTATTTAGGTTTAGGGATTACACCTAGTGGTGTTCAGGGTTTACCCCGGCTCTGTGTTTAGGGATCACTCCTGGTGGGCTCAAGAGACCATATGCAGTTCCAGGGATCAAACTTGGGTCAGCCATGTGAAAGGCAAGCTCCCTACGAGCTGTACTATTGCTCTGGCCCACAGTTTGTATTTTTAAATAAAATAAAGGTGTGTGTGTGTGTGTGTGTGTGTGTGTGTGTGTGTGTGTGTGTGTGTGTGCTGGAGCGATAGAATAACCGGTAGGGCATTTG